TCATGAACAAACCAAGCAGTTGCATCTTGAGCAAATTTGTGCACATGTGGTGGTGCAATAGCGTGCCAGATTTCATTGGCCTGGTTGATGGCTTCAAAGAGTCGTTCTTCAGCTGGATTAGCCGCAATGGTCTGAAGGATACCGGCTCCTGGAGCAGGCAGGTTGACCTGGCATTTGGCAAAAAGATCATGTAGCAATACCCAGCCACAAAGGCCAAGTGGCGGTTCATTGGGAAGCAGCATGACCTGGATCTTGTCATCCTCTATCCCGATCATCTTCAACAATTGTGACGTCATGTGGTGCAGCTCAAATCCATAGCTCGAGGGAGCAGAGATCCAGATTAGACAATGGTCAGCAGTGCGCTGGATCTCACAAAGGACCCAATGCTGGTCCCACAGGACAAGCGTGAAGACATGTGAGTGATATTGGCACTGATCCGAGTAGCCTCCGAAGGTGCAGATCGTGCGATTGCTCGATGACCATCTCGCAGGAGCCGTGAAAGCGACATCAGGACACTGCAATCGAAGGATTTGGAGAAGATTGTCAGCAATGTCGCTGCCAAGCCAGCCAGGGTACCGAAGCATCTCATCAATGCGCTGATTCCGAATGTCTTTCAGCACGGCATCGTATTGGCCAAAATGAAGTACACTGCCTACTGGCCGCTGTGTCGAAGCTGGTGGAAGCCGGAGGATGAAGTCATAGTCAATGACAGGAGCAGCATCATTGTCCAGTAGCCCAAGATGGCAAAAGAAATCCAGTCTCAACTGATGTGCAAGATGCCAAATGTGAGGTGGAAACTCATGCGCTTGCCAATTCTCGTGGATTTGGCCAAGACATCTTGGACAAGTGTATACCTCCAGCTCGGGAGATCCTCCAGATCCTCCTCTGACACCTGGATGGAGTCATGTCGATCATATCTCTCGTACCAACGATAGAGGAGAGCCCAGCCACATGCATAGTCAGCTTGATGGAAGAGATCCACAAACAAGTGCATTTTCCTCATCGTAGTGTCCAGCCTTCTGCACAAGATCGAGGCAAGCATGTACGCTGTTGTAGCATCAAGGCCAAGGACAGTCAGGAGAATGGAGTCACCAGTACGGGTAATCTCACATCCCACCCAATGACACTTGATGAGCACTGCAAGCCACGTAGTCGTTTCCATCTGTATTGCAGGAAATTGGAAGTGACTTTCATCAAATTCAGTCTCAACTCCGTCCCAAAGAAGGATCGCGAAGGCATTGCAAATGTCAGGATGAAGTTTCAGAAGCCAGTCCATGGCGTACTGCAGTTCATCAGAAGCGCAACAACCTTCCGTACAATTGCTGAAATGGCATCTCTCGGAGAAGTTGGCTCCTTGTCGAAGATGCCACACATTGTCCTCAGTTTGCGGGTGACCACCTGCATATACATGGCCCGTGTTGATCAAAGAACGGAGAGCAGAGTCTCGATGGACAACCGAAATGATGTCCCCATCCGCACACTCATGGATCATCGGTGATTCCAGAGAAAAGCCATTGATTCGTTGGATATCAAAAGGCTCACCTTGGATGACCACAGTTGTGGAGTGATCAACTGCTCCCGAAAATTCGAGGACATAGAATTCCACATGCTTGGACATGTTCTCGACGACGATGATATTGCTTGCCAAGTGGGATGGCATGAAGACCCACCATTCAAAGTCAGGAAACCTCACGGAGTTACCAGTAAGTCGCTTGAGTGACCACTCTCTGAATCCTCGATCGCTAAGGAAGCCACGAACACTGTCAATGTTGTGATGACCATAGATCCTGGCCAGGATAGAGGTGGCAGGAGTCATCCAAAGCAAGATCACTGGGTCCGAAGGACCTTCTCCTTCAAATATTTGTGCACTGCTGGCAGCCGTAAAGAAATGGTGGATTCGGGCGAAATCATCCGATCGTGCAATCACTTCTCCCTCACAGGTTGGGATCTCGATGGTTTCAGTCACCGACACTGGGACATAGGGAATGGTAGGAGAGATGTCTGGGGCATCAACCTGATCCTGCATGACAAATCTGAGACATGCAACTTTGACAGAGGCCGCAAAGATGTTCCATTCCTTGGAGATGATGATCAGGTCAGAGATCTGCTCAACCCTGGAAGCAACGATCAAACCATGTCTCAGAGTGATCTGAGTCAAGGCATGCGGGTCAAGGCCAGTGCAGGATCGAATCAACTCATGCACCGTCCATGAGGGATCACATGAGCCCTCCGTGCCATGAGATCCATGGCAATCACTGACAACACACTTCATGGCAAAGGCGTCAACGCTCGGGCAGCGAATTGGAATGCGTTCGAATGCCAGCTTAACCTGTGAGATGGTGATGAAGTTACCTTCAACTTGCACAAAAGCATTATGAGTCGTCATGCGTTTCAACCAAATGTCATGGACAATTCGAAGAATAGGGATTGTTTCGGCTTGAATGGCCTGCAATCCTACCAAAATGGCGAGCGCAGCTTGAGGGACTGCAATGGCATTGCCCAAAACATGGTATGCATCAGTCGGCTGACGTTCAATCGACACCCTGGTTTGCCCCCCGAGCAAAGCCACAATACGAGGGGGTTCAACCCAACAAAAACCCTCAGATCCTGACGAGAAAAAGGTGAACAGACCTCTCTGCAGAAGGTGATGTGTGGCCAACTCATGTTGGTGACCATAGGAAGCACATATGGTTGGAAGAGGTTCAGTAGGATTGATGGTGCGTTCCCTCAGGACCGTCTCTGTCACTGCATCGGGTGCTACCCTGGCCTTTTTGGCAGGCGGAAGTGTCCCTCGACTGCCATACAATCGCTGAAGCTCATCAGAAAGGAGTAGTCCATCTCGCACATCCTGAGGAAGAGGAAAGTCATACAAGTCTGAGGACCATGGACACAAATGCTCAGCTTCCAAGTGGAAATGCTCATCAATGACACCGGGGTTCATGTCAACCCTGGCCCATGCAGACAGCCACCTACATCTCATGTTGTGGGACAATGGATGGTATTCTACCAGCTGTTGCCAGATCCTTCGATAACCGCCAAGTTTCAAAAGGTGTGAGATCAATCCAAAGTGTGGATGCTTAGTGATCTCGTCGGAGCACTCAAAGACTTGGACGTTTGGCTGCAGAACAATTGTGAGAAACACAGCTTCGATGAACGAGTACCCGGCAGCGGAATTGAGACCTTGGGCCCTACCAGCTTTACTCCAGGTAATGCATGGGGGTGACGCAGTGCAGACAAGATTGAGGCGGACACGGACTTGATGGCAAAAGGTGCAATCGTTCACCGAGGTGCATATCCCCACATGGGAGCTAGGACTCCAAGGAAAATCGGGATTTGTCGGTCCAAAGTGCACCGGCTTCTCAAATTGACTAGCCCAATTTTGCATTGTGCGAGGATCGCTATCAACATAGATCTGCTGGGAAACCTGAGGGACCTGTTCAGTCTTTCCAATTGCCTCCAAGGCTTGAGACCACCCGCAGAACGAGCCTGAAAAGAGATGCACGGCCGAAATTGGTCTTCGAGGATTCCACAAAGGGACATTCGTGATGATCGTGTCACGTGGCATCACGAATCGAGTGTGACAGCTCTGGACAATGTTCCCATAAAACGACACAATGTCACCATGTTGGAAGTGCAAATCTCTCATGGTCAGGTCCTGCACCAAAATCTCCCACACTTCACCTCCCGAAGGAATGAAACCTTTCCCTGGGGAAAAATTTCTGGGCTTCACCCACATCAACGATCCCTCAATACCACACAGCTCTCCCTGAAAAAGCACTTTCCCAGCAATGCGAGCGAAGGAGCCGGCACTACCAAAGGAAATAAACAGCTCCTCAAGAGCATGCTTCCAGGGATCATCAATCTTCGACCTAATCATATCGATCAACAAAGAACTCATGTCGTCACAGAACCAAAAGAGGTCACACCACGGCAAACTCCACAATGACCAGGCTGCAGAACTGAAAGCAGTCCTGCTTAGTCGACGATGCCCCCGCCTTCCGAGGGCGGCAAACACCCCTAGGTGGCCCGACACCTTCAGCCACACGGCTTTGGGCCTAGATGGCTCCTAGCCGTCTATTCTCTTCATTTTCGCTGGTCTAGCAAGGTCTCCCAATTTTGACCCATGGCCGTATACTAATTGCCCCAGCCCTTATGATCATGCACATCGTTCCTTGAGCTGCGAGAGCTCCGAGAGCTAAAGCGCTTTGGCCATTGATTTGGCGAGGTAGGCCTTGATGATTGAAGCTCAACACCAATGCATCGCCATGTATGGGGATGGCAACCCCACAGCCCCTGTGTGTGCTTTGCGCCATCCACCAACATGAACCTGATCCCCTTCCGTTTACCTTTTGCAACGCGGGCATACAGGACTCAGCTGAAGCACCCAAGGAAGAGCATGTTGAGAGACTGTGGGGTCCCATTTGTCATATCGAGCTGACCGAGCCGAGTCGCCCAACTGGGCCGCACTCTTTTGCGCTCATTGAGCGGGGAAACCGCCCTGAACTCCTGTGCCTCGATCGGCGAGCAGTTGCAAAACCAGTGCGCTTTCGGTGTCAGGTACGAAACCGCACGGAGATGATGCTGTGCATTGCTACCCTTTCCGGGTCCGGAGAGCGATGAAGCAGCGCTTGCATGGAGTGACTTGCAGCCGCCCGCATGGAAAAGGCTGCTGAAGCTGCATGAGGCAACCAAAAAACTGCCAGAGGAAGGTTGTGAGAGGGGCCTTTGATGTCAGAATCTGTGCATCCAATTCGAGAGCGGCATGTGAATTGCATTCACGTCTACATGGAGGTGGCCAATGACCCTGGGAAGACTACTTTCCTTTGCAGACAGGGAGTTGTCCACTTCCGTGTTAGTGAGTGGGAGGGTATTTGACCTGATTGAAATTCGCACCGAGCATTTGCCTTTTCATCCTGACACAATCGTTTTCGACTTTCTCCGCCGGAGAGACTGGTTTTTTCAATTCGATGCTTTCTTCCCAGTGATACGGAGTTGCACAGGGGCACCTTTTTGCGGCGATGCCAGCCAGCCAAGCAGGGAGCCCGGCGATGTGGTAAGCTGTTAGTTTGTTGCGGGGAAAAAACCTTCAGAACTTTTGGTTCATTCTGGCTGGTATCCTGAAAGACCACCATTTGTAGCCTTGTACTTGTACTGAAGGGGATGCCAAATGGATGACATCAGATGTGCACATGTTTTGTTTTCGGCCTCTTGTGTTCTTTTGCACCAGAAAGATTTGCAAGACCGCGTTTTTGCAAGGCCAACCAGGATGGCAAGAGTGCCAGCATCACCGCTCCCAATGGACCTTCCCAGGAGAAGTGCATCAAAGCCTGCTTTCGGGAGGCAACAGGGAGCAAGCATCCACGATATGAGCAACTGAGACCATGTCACAAGTGAACTGGCAAAGATGCGGTGTTGAGAGGCCAAATATTCGCCAGCTGAAGTTGACTGCCCTTGACTTGGATGTGGCAAGCAGTGCAGTAGTTGGTGCTAGCAGCGGGCTGGCTGGCAGCAGCCTGCCTTAGCTTCAAGGCAGACTCTAGTAAGATTTCCCAGTGCTAATGTTCCAGCAACATGTGTCAGTTCCTGCAGCATGAGTGTAAACAGGCCAAGACTTCGTTTGGCTTCCGGCGGTAGCTTTCAAATTTGTTTGAGAAGCTTGCTGGAAGCCACTGGTAGAAGCAACTTCGGTATAGGGAGAAGGATCTCTGATCCTTGCACTCGAAGACGAACAGCTGAACAGCTCAATAGGAACCATGCGTCCGAACGCTCCGTTCGGTTCGCGAACCTTGTTCCGTTCGTAGTAAGGCCAGGAGCCCCTAGATCGTAGCGTCCGAACGCTCCGTTCGTAGATCCGTTCGGTTCGCGTCCTCTAGGCTTCGAGACACATGGCACCGGCACAGCCCTGGGCGATCCCATCGAGGCGGGCGGGCGGTTTGTTTGGTGCAGCGGTCTTGTTCAAACGCATTTGGATGAAGAGCTGGCCATGTAAGGAATGATTGTAGGAATGGCCAGTGAACAGGTGAGTCATGCTCTTTGTGCCTTTCTAGTGAGAATGGAGTTGAACCTTGAATTTGGTTGCAAGTTTCGACTAGTTGAGCGGTTGTCGTCATATGATATGACTGGGAGGGTGGAATTCAAACTGCTGTTTCCATCACCAGGTTGGAGCCTTCAAGCGCATCTACCAACAAGTGCCCCGTGCGCAGCCTTTGCTTGTCGGACAGCTCAGCACCACAACCCCTGGTGCCAATGAACCTTCGCCCCAGAATCCTGAATTGAGTGAGAAAAAGCATTTCACTAAATCGCTACTAGTAACCAGGGCATCGCTACTAGTAACAAGGGCATTACTACTAGTCTAGTAGCTGCTACTAGTAGTATTGCCCTTGTTACTAGTAGCTTCTAGCTACTTTAGCCTTCGACTCTTCGACTTTGTTTCATCACTTGACCTTGGGAGCCTTGCCCCTGGCTGTACTGGTGTGCGTCAGTGGTTCACCATTGCGCGCATGTGGTGCTCATGCTAATGATCAACTCAGGTCACTAGCTCCAAGACGAACTTGGGGCATCTCGAAGGTGGCGCAGGCTGGGTCAGCAGAATCATTTTGGCTTCGCGTTCGGAAGCCGGCGCCAGGAATGGCCGGGCTCATCAAGGTGGTTTTGCAGGCGAGACGGTGGAGGGAGTCCAGGGAGTGCGACTCTATCTTCAGCTGGGAGTTGGTTTGAGGTCCTGCGCTGCGAATCTAGCCCGAACATCCACCTTCGGGAGATGAATCCACACTTGGACGTGGAAGGACTGAATTCGCAAGCCGAGACTTTGTGGAAAGCAAGTCGATCCAGTTTGCCTTGAGGATTTCCTGCTCAGTTCCTGTCAGAGGGCTGTGTGACGCACTTCAACAGTTGCGTCAGTGGCGTGTGCTCCCTAGTTGCCTTTGGACATAACATCCCACCAATTGTCCAAAGGTGGTGAAACTTCAAGTGTTAGATTTAGATTTCAGAATCGCGAGCTTTTTGGGGATTTTGGAGGTACTACGGTAATAGTGCTTAAGTTAAACGTATTCAGCCTTTGTGATCTTTGGCGATGACGTCATCTCTCAGACATGTCACCATCTTTCGTTTGTTCGTTTAGCCGCGGTGGCAGTTTTCCTTGCTGGCCGGGGGGAGCAACGCCCATGCAGGTGAGCTCTTTTGGCTTCGGTGGCACCAACGCCCATGCCATGCGTTGGACTTAGCTCACTTAGCCTCACCACCCCCTTTTTAGCCACACCATGTGTTTTTCAATGGTTTTGTCCAATGGCTGAGGGCTTTCTCCCAGAACATTTGCAACAATCGCGATGTGACCAAGAAGGATTACAGGAGTGGCGGATTAGATGTTGCTTCCTTTTTCAAATCTTTACAAGGGTTGCCGTGAATTCAACAAGTTGATAAGCGAATGGGGGAGTGACAAGTCAGTCCTGCATGCAACACTGTTCGCATTTTGAGCCAAGTACATGCTGTATCTTGAAGGAGCCTGATGATGCAAAAGATCCAGCAGGTGGCTGGTAGATCATTTGTTTTTCGAGTGTCATTGGGATGTGTTTGTTGGGCCGGGTGGAAGATGTTCTTGACAAAGACATGCGCAGCTGTCACTCAACTCAATCAAGGTACTAAGATACTCCAGCGATTCAGCAGTTCTTATTACCAAAGCAGGCTACGCGAAGGTATACTGAATGAATTCTGCCCATAACAGGAGGCTCGAGGAAGGAGCGTGAACTTTACATTCTTGTACAATAGCCCCTAGTGTGAGTGTCACCAAAGCTTCAGGGAATCCTTCCTGGTGCCCTCAGATAGGCACACAGTTCGTTGCAAGAAACTGGTGCTGCAATGGCAAGATGGTGAGACCACCGACCTGCATGGTGAGCTCATGCAGTTGCTGGGACGAACGGGTTTTGCACGACCGAACATTCGCAGACTTCAGATCTGGGAGGCAGGGTGGAAGGCTCTCAGGCCTGCATCCTCAACGAAGACCCTCAGTCCCGATGCATTTCAGGAGGATACAACGAAGGCCCTCAAGGCTCTCCAGCGACTGAAATCCAAGCGTCGGGGAGGATCTGAGCTGACGCCAACGCTTGCCGCCAATCTGGAGGAGACACCTCAGGATTTGTTGGACCAAGCACGTCCAGAGGATTTGGTGGAGGAGTCGACATCTGATCCTCCAAGTGCTGGGCCGCTGGCGAGAAAGATGTGGAAGTGTGCCATGCTGGGAGTTCGAAATGAAGAAATCTGGGCTCGCTTTGTTCAACGCGTCTTGTTGACAGGGGCTCTCACTGGGCCGAAAGATGTCTCGTTGATGTTTCGTGCCTTCGCCAGGATCAAATATCGAGATAGAAAGGCGCTGGATACTTTGTCCCCCTTCATTCTGCGACACGTCGATTCTTTCAGCACACATGAGCTGGCGCTCATCCTAGCGGCTCACAAGAAACTGGAGTACGAGAGGACTGACAATATCCACTTGTTGGTGAGCATCATTTGTCAGCGAAAGGAAGAATGGACTGGACAAATCGTGGCACTCACCTGCAACGCCGTAGCACATTTCTATATTTATCGCCCACGTTTCTGGAGAATGGCTGCCATGTCTTTGATCAATTTAGTTTGGACCATGAGCCCTTTGGAGCTCACCATCCTGGTGAGTGCCATGGCCCGAGTGGATCGTCGAGATGAGCAGGCGCTGGCGATGATCGCTAAGATGTGCACGCGCTGTGCCAAGAGACATCTCTTCAATCAAGAGACCTTAGCGACCACGATGAACGCCTTTGCCAAGTTGGATTACAACAATGCAAAGCTGGCCAAGGCCTTAGAAGAGGCTGCCCTGGTGAAGCTGAACCTAGCTCTTGAGATAGGGCCTCAGTATCGAAGCTAGGCCAAGCTAGACCGTCTCGTTTTCATTGTAATTACAGTACCTTCTTCTTTGGCAGGTCGTTTCTGTTTCGTTCGCCGGTCGCCGGTGGAGAAAATGCACCAGTTGTTCTGAGGACAATCGCGTGAGTGGCGCCAGGTGGATGTCTTCGACTTGCAAGCTCTGGTGCTGATGTTTCGTTCGCTGGTGGCGCTCGTGGGCACCTCGGATGATGTGGCTGAGAAGATCCTGACCCTGCTGGCATGGTCCAAGGACGCTGGGAAGAGCTCATCGTGAAATTGTAGAGCTTGGGTCTGGGGAATGCTTGACATCGTGACATCGGACATATAGAATGACCCCCGCCCTACTGTAAGATCTGAACTGAATGCTTTTCATGGTTCTCAAACCCGTTCGTTGATTTCTCTGAGCACGACCGCCATGTTCGGAAGCTCGATTTTCATAGTTTTCTTCTCAGAAACTGCCAGTCAGCCAGCGAATGGTCAATGGGTGTTTATTGGGTCACTCGGCTGGCCAGTTTCATGGCAAGACCGAGCCCAGTCAAGGACACTTTGACTGTCGGAATGGATGGAAGCAGACACAAGACCTTGTTGTGTTTGATGTTTTTTTTTCAGATTCAGAGGCCGGGCCATCCGCTTCCATACCTTTTTCTCTTCCGATCTGCTGAAAGAAACCGTCCAGGAGGAGCTCACGAGTTATCAACGTCGAGTCCTTAAGACCGCGTCCATCGCGTTCCGGCGGCTCCATGGACCACTCTACCGTCGCCTGAACTTCGAACTACGAGAGGCCTTGCATGTCTTCGAAAAGACCCAAGTGAAGGTGAGGGCCTGGGTGCGGCTTCCGGGAGTTCTTGTTGGGTGAGCAGACCTCTTTTCATGGTTCGTTCTTTTTTTGTTTTATCATTTCACACGTCATGTCGTCAAGGCGTAGTTATCATGCACGGCCCAGCTGGAAAATCCCCAATCTGGCACAATGGACATTGCAGCCTCAGGGTCAAATTCAGTGACATCCTTTTCGGTTTCGAGCGGAACACACTGCTTATCAGCATGGAACTAGGCCGCGTCGGCAATGCAATTGCACAAACGTGGTGGATGGCTCACCCGGTTTTCCCGGCGTGCCCCCCGTCAAGTGCTTCCGTTCCTTGATGGTGCAGATGGTGCAACATCTCTTTCCGAATGAGATCACGCGCCGGATCTTGCTTACTCAACCGGAATGCAGTTGGTGTTGTTGAAGCGCATCCTAAATCCCTAGCCTGTAGGAATGAAAGTGTATGCTATGCTGCGGCACCCCATTGCTTGAGAAGCTTGACAATTTGAAGTCTCCAGATGCTGGCAGCCCCCCTTCTTGTTTGCCAGCCGGATGCTCGACAGACCAGTGCGTATCCGTCAAGCAGAGTTTGTGGTTCCAGGGTCAAAAGAATGGTGAAGACCATCAGTAGGTGATTGCCAATCGACATTTGCCACATCTGCCTGGCTCACAGGTCTCTGTAGACCCCAGAGCCATGTCACTTCTGAAGGACGGGGGCTGTCTCGCCGACCAGGTCTCGCATGGTGGTGCCAGGTCACCAGGTGTCGTGGGGCGGTGCGCCGCGCGATCCTACACTCACCTCCGTTGGCAGTGGATGAGGTGCCTCAACTGGTGCCACATACCACCCGGATTTTGCGTGGATTTTTGCTAGGAAGTGTGCGATAATACAGCAGCCCTACTTTAGCAGCAGCCAGATCCGAACGGGTACAGACGACTCGGAGGGTCGCCCTTCATCTTTTTATGTCTCTTCTGGTTCCTGTACTGATATACTGACCATTCTCATTCGGTCAGTTCCGAAGCGACTGTCATCGTTTTCATCCGCTTCTCAAAGTCAAGCAGTCTCTTGGCATGATGTTGCCCGTGGCCATGAAAGCTCGTAAGGACCTCTGTTTTGCCTGGTTTGAACGCAGGCTGGACCAAAGGACGCGCAGAAATCGCGTGCTCTGGCCAGGTCGTCTACAGTGTCTACAGAAGACGACGTGCTACGCACACCAGCGCACTCATCTTGTAGATCAGTGATCAAGAACGGCCCCGCTTGGTCTGGTATGTGTCTGGATGCATCGCACGCTTCCGGGGGCTTTGGGTCCAAGTCTCAAAACGAGCTGTTGCCATAGCTTGAAATGCCTTTGGAACTTGAGCATGCTCCAACACGCTGGCCTGTGACTGCAGTTGTTCTTCAGAGTTTTCATGGCTTTGTCGTTCAGCATTTTCCTTGCCTGCAAGAGTCTTGTTGAAACGCGAGTCCCTGACAAGGCATGAACAGAATGCCCCCGTAGAAGTCTGACTCCACGTCGAGGAGTATCAACCCGACTGCGTGTTTGTGCCTACGCGTGGAAAACCGCGCGTGTAGGCACTGCGAATTTAAGGGGGCGGTTTGGGGGGGGGGGGGTTGGGGGGGGGGGGTTTGGGGAGGGGCAAGTTGCGTGATATGTTATGCGTGTTTTCTCTTTGGCTCCAGTTTCACGTCTTCATGGAGGCGCGTTTGCGTCGTCGCGCGCTTTGCACGGCCCTGGTCTCAGTGCTGCGGCTAGGCGGCTGGCGCGCCGTGCGCAGCGACCTGTCCTCATTCTGGATTTGCCGCTGGCTCGGGGTGTAAGAACAACTCTCGAGATCATGCTGGACGAATCTGGTGTACCGAATAGGAACTTGCGTTGGTCCGCCTTAGACGAGCATGCGATGTTGCTTCTACAGACTTTCTTAGCGATGTATATGTCAATGTTTAGGCCGATTTCGGTCTTTGCTGTTTCCTGCTGCATTCGCTACAGCGCTTTGATCACACGTCGCTTTGGCTCCGTCGACTTTGGTCTCTACGGCGGAGAGTGGTGTCTGGATCACATCATGAGTCACGACGTGAGAAGGCCAACGAACAGTTCTGCTCTCTGACAGGGCTTTGTGTGAAAAGATGGCTGGCGGCTGGAGGTAAAACACTTTGCTTGTTCTCACCGGTCCGGTAAGTTTTGCCACACGGTGAAGTTCAACAGAAAGACTCTGAAAGTTCATGGGGGAACGATTGATGGAGTTTGGCCTTTGTTGAAACAGGCTTTGCCAAAGCAGATTAGAACCACGGACATCACCGATCCGACACAGATCAATCTGAAGATGTGGCGTCATGCAAGGGCGTGGCAGTGGCGATGGGAACATGCCAAGCACGATTCCCTAGCCAGTCTGACTGCGAAAACGCTGCGAGTCATGTGAGAAACGCACGCAGCTGTCCGGTGACGACGCCGTTTTTCTTGAAAGTGAGATCTCATTTTAGGCATGGGGACGCATGTTTTGTGTGGCAAATACCACTACCATTGTAAATCCCAAGGGAAATGCCGTGATTTCTATGTACTTGACTTTCAAAAATACTGCAAATAGCACATTGGAGTGCCATACGCAAAGCAAAAAAACAAAACACACGTTCAGAAATCCACGTGCCGGGATGTTTGTCACTATTTTTGTCCAGCGTTCTAAGCCATCCGTGGAACGCCCAAGTGTAGCCCGAGCGCCCCAAAACACAGTGCTCTTGGAACAAACATGTTTTGGGATTTTCATGGACTTACATAATTTAGGGTTCTTCAATGCTTGAATCCTTTTGGCAGCCTTCACCCCTTCTATTGTTTTGTTCTAGACTCGCTTGCGCTTTCTTGTCTACTACGTACAACGTGCTCGTGTGTGTCTGCCGTGAGCCGAACAAATGGGGTCTTTCAGATGTGTAGGTGAGGACCTTTGAGTCTCGATGGATGTCGGAGGTGCGACGGACCTTGCGGAAGATGGACATCCCCGTGGAGCTGAAAGCGTTGGTGGATGATCAAATGCTGGAGATGGGGGATGAGTAGGCTATCACACTATTGTGTTTGTCGCCTCCGAACTGTTCCTGCCCAAAGATAAGGGTTGTAGAAACCAACTAATGATACAAGGGTATATAGATGACATGTGACCATGCCATGTGTGGGTCAGTCGGTCAGTCAAAGGTCTTTTGATTTTCTGTATGGTGTTCAGCAAAAAGGTTGAATGGTGCTCCATTCATGGAATGCACTCCTCCCCTGTGAGGACATTTGGATGCCGGCCAGCAATGCAGTGGTATGTACTGTAGGACCCTATGGCTACTATGCAGGAACCACTGATCGAACTGCGTACAGCAAGATGCATCAGCGAATCTTGGAATTAGAAGGATACGTTTGCTTGACTGTACCCTACTTTGAGTGGGCAGAGCTCAAAACAGACGAAGACAAGATGGTCTACTTGTGGTCTTTGGGGCGGAAAGCTGCTGGCAGCAAGAAAGGCCAGGTCTCAAGTGAAGCTCATCCAGCTGAAATCGTCGAGGCGTTCCGCTCAGATCTGACTGATGCCGGAGAAGCAACAGCCTAAAAGGGGCACTGAAGGAGCGAACTGGATGGGGGGATGAAAGGAAGCACCGCCTTGGTTGAAAGTGGCAAGGTGACCGACCACCTTGTGATCCCAGAACGCAGCCAACACTTTGAGCCCTTGGGGTTCATGCAACCCCCAGCGGTATTTTCAAAATTTAAGCAAGTCTAGTTCTCAGCTGCTACAGAATCATGCCAGATTGTCTGTGAGGCTGCGCCTCCTGAGATCATCAAAGCCACTCAGGATCCAGAGGAGACGTGCCGAATGGGAGTGTGGGTGAGATGGTGACTACTAGACTGTCCTAGGAAAAAGTCACCGTCAATCAAGCGCGTGTCATGGATCTACTTTCAAGATACCTCTTTTCAGAGAACCATCTCAGGTTCCAGGATGTCTGACAAGCGAGGGTAAATAGTTTGCTCTTCACACCCAGCTCTTTGTATCTTCAGGACTGGGAGAGCAATGGAGCTCCTTTGAGCGAGGACCGCTTTTTCGATCGCCAAGGTTGACCTTCGTATCCAATGTCCCACGCTGGAAGGACAAGATCGGCAAGCTTTACGAGGTGGAAGTGGACCTCAGCGGTAAAGTCGCCTGCGGCTCAGGGCCGTTTAGCCATGGTCTGAGCATTGTAACACTAGGCGCTGATGGAGTAGGGAAATAGGACCACACCGGTAGAATGAGGGCCACACCTATTTAGAAGGGGCATTGCGTTGGTTCTTAAACTGTGGATCTGGCATATTCACTGTCACGAGACGTCCTCCCCAGGGCCCTTTTTCTATTTGAGCGGCTGAGGTTTGGCGGGAAGTTGTGGAGACACCACCAGATCCAAAAGCACACGAGAGGCAGCTGCACAAGCGCCCAACGAACGATGGCTGGGGGCATTCCTTGACCATTTTTATGAACTTTCGATGTCTAAGTCTAAGACCCACAGCAGCTCTGGCTAGACCCTAGGAAGAGGAGTGCCCGACGCTCCAATGGGTCAGAGCTGGCAGGTGTGATGGTTTGAGCGTGATTTACCACGTTCTTATTTTCCAGATAGCGAAGCTATAGGGGTTCTTACTTCTCAATGGATGGGTTCCTGATTGCCGAAATTGGCTGCCGCTGCCGCTGCCGCCTTGTCTCCCAAGCTTGTCTCCCTTCATGATTTCGCTTCTGGCTGCCGCTGCCGCCTTGTCTCCCAAGCTTGTCTCCCTTCATGATTTCGCTTTTGGCTGCCGCTGCCGCCTTGTCTCCCAAGCTTGTCTCCCTTCATG